GATCTCCTGGATATGTCGATGCTCAATCACTGAGCCACACCAGCTGGGTCAGGATCAACGTTTTTACTAGCACCCCCACTGCTTCAGATTCAGGCTAGGACTTGAGAAACACTGGTCTAGAAGCCTGGGGTCACGAACAGCTCATCCCCATTGATTCAGGAGCGCCCCCCAAGTCACACTAGGCCTCTTTCTTAAAAATCCCATTTCTGTGATGTTGGCACACCAGATCCTATTTTCTCACTGATTTCCCTGATAATTTCTGTAACTGAACGCTTTAACTGGAATGCATTTCATTGTTAATTGAAATTTATTGTACATTTAAATTAGCAATGAAACTGAACTGCTTAGTTTCAATTTTCTTGCTGCCTATGTTCTTCTTAAAAGCAATTTTGGATCCCATTGATAAACATTTGGTTGACTTAATCTTTATGTGCTATCTCAATAAAATGTGATCATTGAGCCCCTTTAGAACCTTTCGAATTTTAGCAAGCATCAAAATCACCCATAGCAGCGGGTGGGGGATGCTTGTTAAAATGCAGATTTGTGGCTCCATCCCTGGAGAGACGGTATGTGTTGGACCCAAATGTTAACAGTGATGAAGGTAGAGTTAATCCACTGGCCAGGTTTGAAGATGCTCAGCTTTCCAGCTTTGATCTAAATCCTCTCTGCAAAACCGACAGCTGTTTATATATATAGTATGTCTGGATTTTGAATTTGTAAGAGCTTAAATAAGTGTTCAAGTGTTCAACAGAAATAAAAAAATCTTAGAACTATTTCCAGAGGATGAAGATTCCAGTCCTCTCACTATTTAGATGGGGAAACTGAGGCTCAGAGAGGTAACACTTGTACAAAGCCACAGCTTGCTAATGAGAGAGCCAAGACTCAAACCAAGCTGGGACTCTCATTCCAAAGCCCCTCTTATGTTCTAGACTCTTCCAAGAAGTTACAATCTATGAAGGAGCCGTCCCATCTTACTGACCCTGGTGCACATGTGCACAAGTAACAGGTGGGTGTCACTGAGACTTGTGGGTGGAGGGGTGGGACCCAACAGCTGGGATATGTGCTCTAGGATGTCGAACTCAAGGCTTACTGGATTTTAGGCTATTAGGGGAATGAACAATTCAGGAGCATATGGGCACCTACCTCTACCTTCCAGAGGGATGGAACCTTCCAGAGCTGCTGCATGTGGTGAAGGAGGCAAATGGCTATTTCTAAAAGTTGTTGTTGAGTCCATGAGGGGTTCATTTTATTAATCATTATTCCTCATTATACTTACTCTTGCAAAATTATTTTATCATACATCTCATATTTAAAATTATATATTTCCTAACGAAAAATGTAAAAAGGAAACAAGATGTGAGAGGGAAGACAAAGACCTCCAAGTGTGGCAAAGTAGACACTTGAGGGACAGAAGTGGAGATGAGCAGACGTGGTCGGCATGGTCTGTCTGATCTTGTACTGTTCTGTGGTGGCCATTCTCTGGATGGGGTTCTCGTTGTCATATGAGGAGTTGGAGTCATATGTCACACTCTACACCCAGAAAAATTCTAAGTAGTAAGAATGCAACCAAAATAAAAAGAAACGGGAAAAACTATTTTGTAGCCTCAGAGTGAAGAGGGCTTTTGAATTTCAACGTAAAATCCAGAAGCCATAAAAAAGGACTGGGAAATGTGACCACAAAATATAAGTCTGCTCGGAAAAAATATACCATCCGCAAGCTCAAAAGACAGACAAAACAACTGGGGAAAGGCATTTGTAATCATACCACAAATTTCTACTATAGAAATTACTAGTAAGGGGGAGAAAAACAACAAACCAATAGGAAAAAATAATGTTCATGAAAAGACCATCGTGGAAACAAATAAAAACCATTCCCATGGCTAAGAAGGAAAGGGCTATAAAATGTGTCTTTTTGATATCTACTAAAATTGAACATACATTTTATAGCTTAGCAATTCCAGTCTTAGGTACATACCAAGATAAATGCACTCACTTGTGCAACAAAAGACATACGAGAATGCCTTTTGAAACATCGCTCATAATAGCCTCATATGGGACACTAAGCAAATGTTCATCAAGATTTGAAGAAATAGATGAATTTGTGGTGTATCCCCACAATGACATTCTATACAGCAATGAGAATGAGAGAACTGGAGTGATATGCAACCATCTCATAAACAGAATGTTGAGCTAAAAGAAGACAAACAAATAAAAAAAACATATGGTATGCTTTTATTTATATGTTAGAATCACAGGGAAAAAGAATCTACTTTAGAAGAGACGATGGTCCATGGAAAATAGTGACGGGAAAAGGCTGTGGTTGGCTGGGTGGGGTGTGGGAGAGTTCTGGGGTGTGATGATGTCTTGTTAATTGACCTTGATGGTCAGTTTGTACAAAGCCATCAAACATATTTCCTGCATTTTTTGGTTAATCCTCACTCACAGATATTTTTTCCATTGATTTTTTTTTTTTTTTTAGAGAGAGAGTGGAAAGGAGAGGGGGAGACAGAGAGAGAGAAACATTGATGTCAGAGAGACATATTGGATGGTTGCCTCCCAGACGCACTCCAGCGGGGGCTGGGGATGGAGCCTGCAACTGAGGTTCGTGCCCTTGACTGGAATCAAACCCAAGACCCTTCAGTCTGAGGGCCAACGCTCTAACCACTCAGCAACCAGCTAAGGCTATTTTCTGCCCTTTTCAGCTCTATAAAACATTTTTAAAATCCCCTGCAAGCCAGAATGAGCAGTATGTCCATGAGTTTGGGTAAGGAATGGACTCGAAATCCAAACACATGCTGTCCTAGCCCCTGTCAGGATACCAAAGAGATTCTGAGACTGAAAGGACAAACTGCTATCAGCCCAACGTCCTGGGGAATTGCACAGAGACCTGGGCTTGGTGGTTCAGAGGAGGCCCCTCTGCCCCACCAGACACAGGGAGCATCGAGGCCTTTGCAGAGGGCCTGCGAGCAGCCCGAGGAGGGGCTGTGGACTCAGGAGAATGCACTGTAGTCACATTTCACTCAACAGGAATCCCTGTGACTGGGACACTCCATGCAATTTAATTTTCTGGAGAGGCAAAAGTTTCCTCATTAAACAGCTCCTTCATTTAAAACAGAATCATTTTTAGTGACGCCCTTTCAAAAATGTATTCCGCATGTCCCTGATATTTTGGTAAGTCCACAGAATAGAATTGAACCTTTACACCAAGCTACAACACTAACAATCAGGTCAACTTTTTGTGCCAGGCGATTTCTGAAATGCTTGCTGGCACATTTTCTCACCGAACCCTTATCAATGAGTTCCTAGTAGTATTCCCATTTTATATATGAGGCTGAGAGCCATTGAAACACTGTCCAAATTCACACAAGTAACAGCAGGGGAGGAGAAGTGTGCTCCAGCTCCACAGCCTAAACTCCTAACCACTGTTCTGTCTTTTCTTACAGCCTCAGGAATTTTGCATCTGCTACACTCTGCTGCCACAGGTACACAAGAATATTAGGTTGAGTTCTCATTGCTTTTCTCTCCATATTACCTTTCTCCTTCATCAATGTTATACTGTTAGTTTTCACATAAAGCTACATCAAAAGCTTCTACCTAAAATCAGATAAAAATCTATAGCTCTATGTTTTCAAATAAACTCTCAATCTCCTTAGATCTTTCTGGGAAAGAAAGAAGAAAGAAAGGAAAGAAAGGAAAGAAAGGAAAGAAAGGAAAGAAAGGAAAGAAAGGAAAGAAAGGAAAGAAAGGAAGAAAGGAAGAAAGGAAGAAAGAAAGAAAGAAAGAAAGGGAGAAAGAAAGAAAGAAAGAGTAAAGGACCAAAATGGAATCACTTATGCTAAGTCCCACATCAGCAAAACAAGACTTAATTGTGGTTTCAGCTTCTCCTAAGAATGTGACCTTTAACCAGTTGATCTGGAATTACCTGGTCTGCACTAGTGAGGTAATCTGCCTGACTACCTGTCCTTCCCCAAAGGAAAGTGACCTTGCACGAAATGATCCACTTTTTGCTAGAAACTTCTTTTCCTGCCCCCTTCTGCCTATTAAAGCCTTCCATTTTGCACAGCTCCTCAGAACTTCTTTCTAGTTGTTAGAAGGGACGCTGCCCAATTTATGAATCACTGAATAAAGCCAATTAGATCTTTAACTAAACAGTGGGGGTTCAAAACGAATCACCCCAAGATGTGCCACTCTGGCGTGCAGATTATTTTAAATTGAATACAATGGAGGCCCAAGACGCTCGGAAAGAAACCTTGTCCTCGCCCCTTTACTGCCTAAAGGAACCTGCTCTGGAGAAGGGGGTGTCAGCATAGGTAACTATAGTTAAGGTGCAGTAGACAGGGAGGAACCTACCAAAGCCCATTTGATCAAAGTCCTCCATGTCCCACTGTTTCAAGGTGGCCCAGCAAACCTTTGTTTACTAAACATTCACTTTTTTCATCCCCTTGTAAATTGCCTTAACTTCCTTTTGAAGTCCTGGCCCCTTCTCGGCTCCCCCCCACCCCCCTTAGTCCTGAATGACACATATAACTCATTTTACCTCACCGTCCTTGGAATTTGCATGCTTATGTGAATTTCCCATGTGCATGTATTAAACTTGATTTTCTCCTCTTAATCTGCCCCTGTCCTTTTAATTATTCTACCAGTCAGAAGAACTAAAAGGAGCAGGAGAAGGTATTCAGTTGAATTCTGTTTTTCCACATTTCTATTTGGGTAAAATAGCCCATAGAGTTGGGCCAACTTCTTTATCAGTTTAAGAAACCCCACTGGCTCTCTGCATTTCAAAGTGTCCTGGATTTGCTTTTCCTTAACACAACTCAGAAGGAAACCTGTGGTGCTCATCAGATTAACAAAAGCAGCCCTTAACTGGGGTGCATCTGGCTGCCCAGCTCTCCAGAAAATATGCAGTGGGGGCAGATAAGGAGCAAGGCGTGCAGAGAGTCATTTTCTGTGAGGCTTATCAGCTAGCAGGCCTGCGGAGAAAAAGAAGCCACCATCCTTACCCTGTTTTCAAGCTGACCAAGGCATCCTCCACTCCCTTCTGATTAAATTTGGTCATGTACTGATGCATGTAGGGGTAGTTATTCCGAATGTTTCTTTCCGTACTGCCATTGGGCACCGTGCCAAATCGAAAAGGTGGGGAATAGTCGTGAGGTCTCTGAAACTGGAGAGAGAGAGAAAGGAGAAGGAAGAGGAGAAGGAAAAGAAGTCAGCCATCACTTTGCCTTGTGTCAGGAGTTAAACATATGCATGCTTTAGCACAGCAAAAACACATTCAGTTTTGTGCTTCTTAATCACATCTCCCACTGTCTGTGAGCTCCAGTGTCCGTCTTGTTCCATGCTCTTCCCCAGTACATGCTGCCTGGGTACATAATAGATAACTTGTTGGACTGAACTTCTTGGTGCCATTGTAGACAGTAGCCTAGTGGTGAGCACTGGGGACCTGGCAGAGCTCAGGAAATGTTGGCTGAGCAGGGATGAAGGTATTATTTTCATTTGGTTAATTTATCCATCTTATGATAAAACTAGAGGCCTGGTGCACAAAATTCGTGCACAAGTAGGGTCCCTAGGCCTGGCCGGTAATCAGGGCCAATCAGGGCCTTCCGGCTGCTGGCTGGGGCCTTCTTTCCTGGCTGCCACCCCCTGGTGATCAGCACATATCATAGTGAGCAGTCGAACTCCAGGTCAGTTGACCTCCCAAGGGGATAATTTTCATATTAGCCTTTCATTATATAGGATTTTCTGTGATCCCCACCAATCACTCTGAACTCTGTTTACAAGACTTTCACCTCACCCAGGAAATGATGAAGGGAAGCAGATTTTGCCACCCCCAAAAAAGCAGATCTTTGCCATAAGGATTACTTGGGGTTGATTTTTTTTTTTAAATCAGCAGACACAGTAGAAACTCTGAAAACCATGTAGAAGTTACCCTCCTGAGAGAGACATTTACATTTATGAGGAAAATCTCCATTTGTAAGGGTGTCTTTCTTGCTGTACCTGGAAGAGGAAGATGACTAAGTCTCTAGGAACTCTTACCAATGGAAAAGGCAACCGACTTAGGTCTACATAACAAGCATACCCTTGTTAACTGTGCTTTTCCTGGTAACCTCGGGTAATTGGTCTCCCCCCAACATCTTTTGTCTTTATTTAGCTGGAAATGGTATTTAAGGTGGTAGCTTGGGCTATTTAAGGGAGTTACTCAGTTTTCTTGGGTATCTTCTATGCATACAGGAGTTACACTTGTTATTAAATTTTTTTGTTTTTTCCTCCTGTTAACCTGTCTCTTATTATTGGGGGGAGAAGGGCATTCTCAACCAGGAACCTAGAAGAATAGAGG